TAGTTATAAAATTCAAATCATCAACTATCATGAGTTAAATAGATTCGGTTAAGGTCTCAGTTATAGACATCAAATTAAATCAATTTTCGAGGGACGATATTCGAAATTTTACAATTTCCACTTTATTACTTGTTAACGAACTGTACACTTGCGGTGATTTACAAAGCGAACATATTTTCGTGAACAAAAAGCAACACTAATGGCAGTGTAGGAACAAGCCTACCAAGGAAAGGTTTTCTAAGGAGTTTACCTCATATGATAAGAGGCACAGTCACTGAGAAGGTCAGAGGGTTGAAAGTCTATTTAACGCCTCGTGTAACTCTTATGTGGACAAGGAATATGAGGATCGACTACAAGGTTGTACGGATTGGACGATGATGATCAATATCTACATTCTCTAGGGAGATCAAGGAGAAAGGATCCTGAATAACTTCATGTGTCCGGTTATGGAGAAGTATAGCTGTAAAAGAGATCATATGTACCATTTGTGTGAGTATATGACACTAATGCAACTAAAGAAAGCGAGTACTGCACTTAGGTGCCTAGGAGACCCTATGTATCAATTCTGTGAGTATATTATTTTTAATGACTTATTCTTTCCTTTATAGTGTGGATTGATTTTGATGTGAAACCTTTTAAGTGCTATAGTATTTCTTCTCCAAAGGATCTACGCGCTGACGAAGCGGGAAGGGCTGGTTACATTTTTGTTGGGGATTCGATCGCACGACCTACCCCCTCACAAGGGTTGGGGGACTATAGTTCCCTGTTGTTTATGTTTTGGTTCCAAGGTCATTGTCCTTAGAAACTACATCTTTTGCCTATCCCATCTGCGCTGGGAACTTAAATGGAAAAGGAAAGAGTCGTGTGGAACCAGGCACAGCTCGTTCCCAAGAATTGTTCCTCCTTTTATTTTTGGTCTTTGCTTAGTCCCCGCTATCATTATAGACTACATAGAGATTTTATCCTTCTTTCTACCCAGATTGTCAAGATGTGTTACACCTATTTTAATCAATCCTTGGAGACCTATTTTAAACTTTCAACCTTCCGATCTTCTCGGCGACTGTTCCTTTTATCATGTGACATAACCTCCATTGGAAACCTATCCTTGGCAGATTTGTTCCTATTTGGGAGAGAAATATTTGAATTGCATATGTTTCTCTTCAATTGATGGTTTATTTATAGATTTTTCTCCAAGGTTTGGGGTAATTTAGTCATTATGGGAGAATCAAAGATGGTTACTCCTTATTGGCTATCTTATAACCGATTCAATTATGAGTCATACTTTATTTATTTGTCCATGTGAATTTTATTGACAGCCTGTAGGTAGCTTGGAAACAGTTCGCCAGCCTTCTGTGTATTCCTGATTGTTGCTTTACTTTGCGAATAGATTGTCAAGTTCGTAGATTTCGTATCAAGTTTCAACAAAGGCATCAAAACTTCATTCAACCACAGCTATTAAACTGTTAAAGGTATTGGGATGGCTGTTAATACATGAAAACACCCCGGTCTCCTGAAAGAATACATTGCTTCCCCCTAGAGAGACTATTACAGTTGGCATTCATAAGTTTGAGATAGCTGATTTTAGGAGAATTTTAATGAACACAGTTCTTGTAGCCAACAAGTGCAGTCGAGAACATTATAACAGCTAATTGTTCCTATTTAATGGATTAGATTTATGGCAGGTACCCATAAAACAACTCTTTCCCAATCTTATTTCTCTTAGTCCTTGCACGATTGGCTTTTTGTTTCATAAGATGTTGATGTTTCTACCAATCTATCTTGAACAAGTGATATATGTATCGTGAATAGTAATATACCAGAATCAATAATTTGTCACCATTCTTTTACTTTTCTTTTTGAAAACTATGGTGTTGTAAATGAAATCCTATGTGCAAGGTAATTAAGCTAACATCTTGAGGGCATAGTTTGCCTCTAGATTTTTAGCGTTCAAAATATGAATTCAAGAACTTACTGTTGAATTAAGAAATATCATCCATGAATGTTTTCCTTAGCTTGCAAAGTTTAAGCGATATGTTAGGAGAAAGAAAGTATAAAAGGCTCACTTAAAGTAGGTGAACCCATTTCCCATCTAGGCTGGCTAAAAGCTATTATTAAGATACCTAAGTCAATAAATAAAATATTCTAAAGGAATCTGTCATTCATTTCAAATGACCGAATTATCCCAAAGCATGGAGGGAAATCTATAAATACCCCCACCTCAAAAGAATAATGCATACAAAATCAAATATTTTTTTCCCAAATATCCATTTCTCCTTTTTTACCAGTTTGAGCATCAAAACTAGTGAGTTTAAGAGGTAAAGATCCTAGCAAGGTGAGATCAGGGACGGAGCCAAGGGGGGGCCTGGGGGG